GACAGACAGACAGACAGACAGACAGACAGACAGACAGACAGACAGACAGACAGACGTATACATTGTTTTTTGTGTGTGTATAAAACTGCATAATTTTATTGTAAAGATTGGGAATGTCTTCCTCCTTATAGATTCTTATTGGGGTTTGCATTATTTTTTTGTAATTTTTAAATGTTCCATTTTTATTATGAATTTAGAATTACTAAAATGCAAATAAACAGCAACTAAATAAAATAAACAATTAGAAATATGTAATTACCCTTTCAAAACTAGTTATGCTATCACTACTTGCATATCACTTGCATGAATCTTTACAAAACAGTTTTTAAGTCATCCATAATGGTCGGTTTTAAAGAACCAGCCACCCTATTTAAGGCCAAGCTGCAGCATCTCAGTCAGATTTAACTTTGGCTGGGCCAATCTAAAGCCTTCAAGTTTGTGGTTATTTGAACCTTTACAGATAGACCAACTAGTGGGCTAAAGTTCACTCTCCTGCACCATCAAACTCTCATTGTCCTGCTTGAGCCAAATATGATTGATATGCTATTTGAATAAATTAGGTTGGCAGGGAACTTTTGGAGATGTTTGCGTTCTGTAATTTATCAGATTGTTAATGACTGATCCCATTGTATTTTGCACAGGGGTTAAAGTATTGTTGTATCTTATCTTTTGTTAATTTCTTTTGATTAAGTTTTAGATATTGATGCCATATATTCTAAGAGGTGTTCTAATTTGTTGATTCTAAAGGTGTGACTGGTGAAATTGTGCTATCTAAACTTTATGCAGAACCTCTAAATGATAAAAAAATTTATGCTTTGATCTGTTTAGGCAAGCCAGATCTAAAATCAAGTCTGTTGGGGAGACAGTGATGGGCTTCGCTGGTGCTTATTATGAAGACCATATCCAACCAGTGGCTGGAACCTATGTTGAGTGGGCCTCTAACATGAGAAATTCACTATGGGAGAAAGTTCAGACAGCAGTTGGAAACTACATGCCATCTTCCAATTAATCCACACCATCAAACACATCAAAATGAGAAAAGTTGAGATCATCAACTTTTTCTTCTCTTTTCTGTGATTTGCTCTACATTTCTACTCTTTTCCTAAGAGCCTGGTTAACTGTGAAAAATGAGGTTGGAATAAAATTAAACATAATTCAAACAACTTTGTCTCTTCAGTTGTCTGTATATTGGGAAAGGGGAGACAAGACAAAAAAACAAACAAATCCAAGGCTTTGTTGGGCTACTGTATAAAGCCTTGAACTCAATGCTATTTCTGATATTTTGAATTGAAAAAGCTTCCTTGACTAGAAGCGAAACGTCTTCAAACTTGGTGACAAAATCCAGTGGATTTTTTTTTTTTTTTACTTTTTTTGGAATGACTATGACCTGGATGACTAAGAATCTTCACCAGCAGAAAGGGGAGAAGGCGTCAGAAAACATTAAGACATTTCTTCCTTGCTTTTACAAGTTTTTAAACTACTAATTCATTGATAAGGTTCGTGAGGTGGGATTCTATGGTAAGGTCATAGCTGTTAAATGTACTGTAAACCCAAGTGAATAATGTTTTTTTAGCCATTCATCTTGAAGAGTGAATGGCTATCTGCCACGACCCACAATATAGCATAGGTACCCAAGATACACACAGAAACACTGATACAGATTTCTTTAACTATGCAAAAGAAATGTAAAAAGGCTATGGTATTACTAGATTGTGTAGTAGCTGGACAAATGTGAGAAATTCAGTGAAACAGATAAGTTCTGAAACAGTTTTCAAGTTCATAGGGTGAAAGGGAACACATTTATTCTGCCACAGTATAAGCTAAGCCAATGGCTATGTCTAGAATTCAAATTACCCACTAAAAGTGCCTCATCTACGGAAGAATATAAAGTTATTACAAGCAGTACTACAGCCGATGCCAGCTCCAGGAAAGTGTTTGGTTTGTTTAAATACCAGGCCAGATGAAGAGGAAAAAAACAAAACACAGAGGAAATAGAAAAGTTGCAAATTTAATTGCAAACAATGCAAACATTGGAGAATAATAAGATAATCTATCAGAGTGAGGAAAAGTAGCAGCATAACTATAGCAATGGCCTGGGATAACATGAGCCACATTAAAGGTATATTGGAGGCTTGTGAAAGCTCTTGCACACGTTCAATAAGCGTTTCATCTCAGGAGCGGATACACGGTTGTGCATGTGCATTTTTGTTTATATGGATAGGGCTGGTCTTTTCAAGAATTCGTGAAAATACACCATTATACATTTAACTATAAGCTTTATCGAAAAGGAAAGTTTTATGCTGAGTACTAAAAGCAGATAGTGTGTATCCACCATACTCTAAAACTGAGCTGACAGGAAAAGAGCATAATTAAAAGATTTGTGTCCTGTTTATACAATCTAGAAACCACCAGCAAACCTGTGCTCTTATATGTTGAGAAATAACAGGCCTGAAACTGGTGGTGGAGTGGAGATAGATGAAGATGGTCAGTCTGTAGACTGCTAGTTAGCTAGACGGTATGCTAAGCTTTAGGGGGAGATCCAGTGGACTGCGTGAGCTAATACTAGAGCTTCAATCAGGGACCTGGAAGATGGAAGTCCAATTGGATAACACAGTTTGAGAAAACCTGTCCATGATGAGCAAGCATTGAGCGACAGTGGCAGAACCAGGCTCAACATGGTGGTCTTCTGCCGAACCGGTTTGATGAGGCAGGGAATGCAGTAAGAGTCCGGGAGAATGACACTCTGATGAAGCTTTAGCTATGATGGTGAAGGAGGGTCTGGAGGTGGGTTGAAACGATGTCATTTGAATGAAGTCACACATCGCATCCGCTGCCTGCACACAGGAACAGACAGGTGTATATCAAAGGCTAAGAACAGGTCAAGAAAAACTGACCACCAAAGCAATATGATGATGATGCTGAAATTATTTCGTTGATGCTCCTTTTTTCCCATGACGATAACGAAAACTTGCAAGCTAAACAAGGATCTTTGATGAAGAAAACACTACAAGTCGATGAGACTAAATAAAAATGCTAGCAGGTTGTCTTTCAGAAATTTAAAATGCATCCTTGTGCTGTAATCTGTTTGAAAGATAAGCAGTATCAGCCGTGTTCCATAATGCTGTCCACCCGCTATGCAGCGCTGCACATTTTGCATGACTGTAGATAGAGCGTGGCAGAAGAGGCAGGGGTGAAAATAAGCTGAAATGGTCTGGTACTGTGTGCTGAACTCTCACAAACTCTGCTCTTCCAGCTGTGCTTGTGCAGATAAGCGTCTTTGCAGATGTAGCTCAGAGTCTGCGTTTTATAATGGTTCGCTCTCAGCAGTATTGCTCTTCCTGCCCTTGCTTCTTAATGAACTATATGGGGCTGATTATCCCTTGCCAAGCGTAAAAAATCATTTTATTTAACAATCAAGATTTTATTTCTTCCAGCTCACAGGAGGTGTACAAAACATTATTTAATTTCTAAAAAAATAATCCCCAAATTACACCCAAAACAAATTGCATTCTTTTTATTTCTGTATAAAGACCCAGATGAAAAGATATATAGACCTTTTAATATTTCTCTCTCATAGTTATTGTCTCTATCTATTTGAATATTTCCACAATTTAATTAAAATATTGAAATGTAGGTCTGCATTGTCATGGCATTATAAGGCAATTATGTAGGTTCTCTGTGTATTCTTTTTTTTTATTATACCCCTATAAATTTAAAGCTACATTGACCCTGGAACAGTAGGAACCAAGGGGCAAATAATTAGAATAAAGTTACAATTGCCAAACTAGAAAGAAGAATGCTTTTGGTGCTTTTTTGGTGTAATGAAGATTTTATTGATCTGTGCAGAATGCATAATTCATAGTAAATCAGGAAATGTTTGCTTTTGAATGCAAACCTTGTATGTCTAAAACCATTCCTTTATTGTAATTTCGTTTAGCTTGTCTGTCTGCTTTATTAACCAATATGATGTGTTGAACTAAATCTGGTATTTTCCACACTTTTGTGAGACATTTGTATAAAACAGGGCACTAATTAATAAAAGAAAGTTTATTGGAATTCTATAAATCAAAGTCTTCTGCCCAGCAGCAATGATGAACCGCATAGCAGCATTCTGTACCCAGCAACTGTAGTATCTAGGCAAGAGCTTCCAGTTTAGTAAAAAATCTTTTTGTTATTCAAAATTGTAAAAGTTAGCTGTTTTTTGTAGTGCAACATAAAACTGAATAAAACTTGACAAAAAACTTTTCAGTATTTGTCGACTAAAACCGACTAAAACTATCACATATAGTAATGACTAAAATGTGACAAAAATGATAAGTTTTCATCCTGAAGACTAAAAATAACCAAAATCTAAGATGGATGTCAAAAACAACACTGCACCAGACATGCAGACCAGAAAAAAAAAGATCTAATCAGCATTATCGTCTTTCGTTGCAGTTAATCACACATGGGCCAGTGCAAAGATTTTCGTTTGTTTGTCTTTTTCCCAATGCAAATACCATGACAGCGTCTAAACATGCAATTTCTCCAATATCAAGACTAAAGGTGCATCTTAACAACTGAATGCAGACAAAAGTACATTTCAGAGGTATTGCACAACCTCTCAACTACATTTGCACATTCACTCTGTATGGCCATTTACACTGGACTTTGTGTAGGTGGACGGACATGCCTTTTAGGATGTGTGTGTGCTTTAGCGGAAACAAGTGTGTGTGTAATGTCACCAGATGACGTTTGTTTGCAGTCCCCCCTATATCATCTCGTCCAGATGTGAGCCCTGTTTTACAGACAACTCGCCTCCAGAGAAGACTGTCACTTCTTGGATCTGTACATCCAGCAAACACAGTAGGTACTTCTGCTCTTGTTAAAGAAGTGGTCACTGTCTCCTTTCAGGCATATTTCAGATGCATTTTCATAAATAAATCTGTATCTTTTTGGAGGTTTAACTATATGGTTTATGTTTCCTCTCTTCTTGTTTCAGAGATGAATACAAAATTGATCCTTGCACTGGTCTTTGCTCTTCAGGGTAAGGCAACATAAAAAAAAGCTATCTGCCTCATTAGGAATAACATAGATGCAAAGTAAGGCTTTTATTTACCAAAGAACTAGAGATATTGATTTGAAGTGTCACACTTAAACATTTTTTTGGCTATGCAAAACAATACTGAGACATTTATCTGAAAGGTTTTCTAATGCAAAATGTAGGGTTTATTTAGACAGGATCATATGCTGAATTGTAGCTAAACTCATCTCTCTTTATTTTTAGTCTCATTGAGCCTGAGTGAGGTCCATCAACCAAGCCAGGAGCTGGTCGAAAAGTATGAGGCCATGAAAGCAACTTTTTACAAGAGGCTGCTCAATGCTTATGGCAGGCTCCACGGTGCTGTTGGCAACGATGATCAAGCACAGTCCGCCAGGGATTTGATCGAGTCTCTGAAAGAAAAGCCTGAAGTGCAAGCAGCTGTCAAAGTTGGAAGGTCAGTGATCTCCAAAAGTTTTTCATTTGAAGAAGACCCTTTTTTTTTTTTGCTCAGATGTGTTCAGTTTCACCAATAATTTACAAATAAATATCACAACGGTGTCTTCATTTATGTTGACAACTGCAAAATAACGTTTTTTAATAAAGGTCACAGTTAAACTGATTTTGATATATATATATATATATATATATATATACTTTTTTTTTTGCAGTGGTCTGGGCTTAGAAGCAGCACCAATGGTGGACAGTGCCCGGGCATCGCTGCTTGGTTTGTACGAACATTATCTTCGCCCCCATGTTGGAGAGAGCCTGAGCAATGCCATCGATCATATCAAGGTCTTCTTGGATCAACATCTGCCTGCTGAGTAAAACAATAACAGTAATAAAGAATAAAAAAGGTCCAGCTGATGGGAAAACACTTGTTGGAAGCATGTAGTAGGTAATAGCTAATAGAATCCACACCAGTTTAGATTTAGAGGAGAAATACCCGATGCAAACAAGATTACTTTGCCTGTTTCTAAATCATTGTCTTTGCCAGATCATGCAGAGTTACTAGCATGGAAACATTGTCAACACCATGTGCTTAAGTTCTGCATGTACAGTATTATATGTTTGATACACTAACAGAAGTCTCCATGTGACAGAGTACGTACAGAATGTGTGTGTATGTATGTGCGTTCAATAAAATGAACTGAAAACTATCCATTTTTGTCCACAAAACACTTTATTAAAGATTCAATTCTAAAATGGGGCAATGGTGCGGATTTATTCTGTTTGATTAATTCATACAGGTAAATGATGTAATGTACGAACTGAAAATCAGTTATGGATTATTAAAGCTCAAGATATTTGGTTACCACCTAAAGATCATCCAAATTAATTATTTTGATTTGATCAATTCTGACAGTCAATAAGTTTTACAACAATTAGATTCCAATCATGCATGTTAAATGCGACTTGGTGAAATACATTTTAGTCAGATGGGAGCCCTAGAAAAAACATTTGGGCCATTTGCTTGTGAATAAAATATTATACTTTTTTTCTGTAAAAAAAAAAAGCAGCATTTCTTAACCCCTAAAATATTAGATTTTGTGAAACATCATATAAACAACAACTTCCTGCCAAAAGACAGTTGTAATATAGCTCATAAAGGATTGTCAAGTGTATGATTGCATCTAATGTATTTATCCTGCACTGAACTTTGCAGAAAGTAGTATAATGGCAACTGGTACAACAGCCTGAGGATTGTTTGAGGCTTTTCACCTAATTGAAGACTAAAAACAGATTTGTATTAAAATCGAGCAAATTGCTACTATTAAGCAATTATGCAATACATCAGAACCAGGAAAACTAACACTAGACTAGACAGTGCAATGTGCTGTTCCAGCTGTTTTTAGGAACAGTGCAGTTATGCCATTCCTGTATTGCTCATCAGCTGGACTGAATTAAACCCCCAGCTTTGCTGACATTTTGAACCCTGCAGCTGGTCTCAAACTGCCTTGAGCAACATGACATGTGAGTCTGAATCACATGGTTGCTGGAAATGTTTGCTTAGGCCTTGATTAAAATGTTGGTGTTACAGAGAAAGGGCCAATCACTTAAGACTAGTTTGTACAGATTGCAAAATTGTTATCAGTCAACAACATGACACAAACACCCTCAAACAAAGACTGTGTGTTTATGGTGAAAACTTGCATTTGTTTTGTTGAAAATTGTCTTAATTTTAAACTAAAAATACTTTAAGAGTACAGAAATCTTAAAAAAAAAACCATTTGTATTTGTTGATAAACACAGCTTTGCATGACTTCCAAGATAAAATGAATATTACAAAAAATATCAGAAGAGTTTAACATCTGATGGTGCATTGGGCATACCTCACCTATAAAGGGGAGGATTATAACACAACCATAAAGCCTCTAAGACACAGGCATCCCTCTAAATGAAAAGACTTGAGCAATGGGAGCATTAATCCGCAGGACCGATCAGTCATATAATATCTCTGAAGTGCTGAAGATATCCTTGGTTCTTGGTGGAATAATATGTTAAACAGATAAAACACTGTACATCTGGTACAGAAACCATACAATCATTAAAGATGTTCCAAGTCAGCATCGCAGGGACTACAATACAGTATTGGATATAGTTGTGAAGAGAGTTAAAGCAGGGTCAGGTTTGACATATAATTCAACCTAAACTTTCAGGATCTCACAGAGCATTGAGCCTCATGCAGCGAAATGTTTGTATCCTTATTATGAATTTCACTTACTTTTTCTCCTACTTTGGGCTTTTAAGCGTGCACCACATCAGATGCAACAAACTTAAACTTAACAAAATAAGAAAGGCTTTACCAGTTTGGAGATCGAGTTTCAGCTGACTAAGAACTGAGAAGCAGAATCAAAGGACCAGTAAAACAAACAGTGTGGAATAAATCACAAGGGCTGTAAATGATGTGGATGCACTGTTACAGAAGTACAAATAAAATGAAAAAATAATAAGAGAAAGAGAAAACTTTTGATCCGAAAACAGTCAATAAAAACTACTGATGGAAGCAAGAGGTGCAACATATGATCTAAATGTCTGATATTATATGGCCATCAATCAACATGATACATCATTCTACAAAACCTCTTTTTAATAAACAGACAGAAATATACCGTACATCTCCAGACCAGCTCTGTTTTCCTTTCACCGTACTTTCCTTTTGTCTCATACAATGCAAAATAAAAGTGTAATTTATAATTGCAGAGTTGCATAATATATAATCAGGTAGTCTTAAAAAATGGACAATTGCTTCTAAGTAATGTCAAATGTAATCATTAAGTGAACAACTATGTTTGCATACCAGCTAAATGATTGTGTAAGATGTCTACGTGAAGTCTGTAGCACTTTTAAATTTAGTTTGTACCTGTGAGAAAATTAGAAATAGAAGAAAAATAGTGAATGCAACATTTTCTCCTAAGTCACACGTACAAATGCTTTAAGAATGGATTTGTTCGTATGAAGAGTTAGAGCATGAGGCCTGTTGTTCAAACCATTATCCAAAAATTGTAAGAGGGGGCAAAAGAAACACTAGAAGAACACTAGAATTTGAAAGGATTCTACTACATCCACCAGAACCTGGATTCAGCAGGTACCTACGCCAGGATCCTGTGTGTGGATTTTAGCTCTGCCTTGCATATAATTATCCCAGCTTTGCTTAAGGAAAATCTCCCTCAGCTGAATGTGCCTGACTCCACCTGCAGGTGGATTACAGACTTCCTGTCTGACAGGAAGCAGCATGTGAAGCTGGGAAAACATGCTTCCGACTCACAGCTCACTCAGCACTGGTTCCCCCCAGGGCTGTGTTCTTCTATTCTCCCTGTACACCAACAGCTGCACCTCCAGCCCTCACTCTATCAAGCATCTGAAGTACGTGGACGACACCACTCTCGGCAGACCTATCTCTGATGTTGACGAATCCTCTTACACGTGGGAGTTTGACCATCTGGTGACCTGGTGCAGGGAGCTCAATGCTCTTAAAACAGTGGAGATGGTTGAGGACTTCAGGAAGAACTCAGTCCCAGCTATCCCCATCACCGTCTGTTACTCCACAATTGACACTGTAGAGTCTTTACACTTCATAGGAACTATGATCTCACTGAGGGAGCTTAACTGAAGCTGAAAGAAGTCCACCCTGCCAAGGACAGTGATGGTGCAGTTCTACTCTTCCATCATTGTGTCCATCCTCACCTTCTCCATCACCATCTGGTACGCTGGTGCCACCGCCAAGGACAAGGGCAGACTTTAGCATGTCATCGGGTCTGCAGAGAAGGTGATCGTCTGCAATCTTCCATATCTCCAGGATCTGTACACCTCCACGACTCTGACTTCAGTTGCCTCAGTTGCCTCCTTTTGGTTATTATATCAGCAAGAATCCAACTCGGCTTCCGTCTCTGCATTTGGGTAGTTTAAAATCCTAAACATCCTGACACCTATTACAGAGATTATAGGCATGTCTTGAAGACATACAAACCTGAATGACTTTTAACTTGTTGCTTCTGAATGCAAACAAAACAAAAGCTATTGTCTTTGAATAAGAGTCATTGCAAAAAAAAAATGCTGATTAGTCAGAAACTTTATTTGGATAGGACTAAGTTCACCTCAGATAATAAAGTAAAAATTCTTTCTGCTATATTTGATGAGGACATTTAAATGCCATATCAAAGAGGTTTCTAGAATTTCCTTCTTTGATCCCAGGGATATTGCAAAAATTTGAAATGTCTTATCTAGGGGCTATGCTGAGAAACTAGTCAATACATTTGTCACTTCAAGCAGTGTTGGCCTTATGGGTTAGAGCAGTGCACTTGTGCTCTTGAGAAAGCTGAACGTACCTGGTTCAATCCCCACAGCCTGCACTCTTGGTTCCTGATTAAGACCCCTTAACCCCCACACTGTTCTTCGGGCGCCTTTGAACCAATCTGACTGCCACATATGATGTAAATGCCTGATATTAGTTTGCCATCAACCAACACAACACATCATGCTGCAAAACCTCCTTTTAATAAACAAAAATATATAATGTACATCTCCAGACCTGGTCTATCGTCCCTTCATTGCTCTCTCCCTTTGTCTCTCTTTTATTGTCTTGTATTACACAGAGTGCAAACAAAACAAAATTCAAATGCAAAATTGAAATTTGCTTCTAAGTAACAACAAATGCAGTTATTTAGTGAAAAACTAGGTTCGCATAACAGCTGATTGATTGCGCAAACTGCCTACGCAAAGTCTGTTGCACTTGTAACATTAGTTTGTACTTGAGAGAAAATTAGAAATAGAAGAAAAATAGTGAATGCAACATTTTCTACAAGTAACTCATACAAATGATTTAAGAACAGATTTGTTCGTATAAAGGGTTCTTGCAAGTGGCTTATTGTTTAAACCATTATCCAAAAATGGAAAGAGGAGGCAAACCACCCTAGATTTACTTACCGTACTTAGTTCTAGTCCAGGTTTGTATAACAATAATCAGAAAAGCTTGAGTTCATTTCTTAAACCCTTCCAGAGGACTTAGAGAAGTTAAAAGGATTCAGAGGTAGGTTTGGTGTAAGGTTCTGTCTGTCAAGTTTTGCATTTGAAAATACGAGAAATTTTACGACATCTGCTGTGAACCAGTCAAGCACAAGTATCCATTATTTTTTAGGACGTGCACAAGAAATCTTGATTGATTGCACAAGAAATGCAATCAAATGGTTTTCCATATATTGAAAAGTTTGAATTAATTTGATTGTATGATCTGGTTGAATTGTCTCTGTAAAGTACCCTGAAATGACATGTGTGGTGAATTAGCACTAAACATCAATAAACCAAATTGAAATTGAAATCATGCAAAATAATGTTTGCAGGTTATTTCTGACAAAGGTTTATTTAATCATATCTATTTTTGTCTATTCTAAATTTTCATCAAACTTAGATTGACTGCAAGTTGCCACCATATCACTTGAACCACAAAACTATATATCATCACAACAAAATTTAACTATCATGTAGTTTCTGTTTTACATATCGAAAGAAACACAGTTACACAATGAAACCAAAAAGTTGAATACATGTAATATATAAAGTTTAATAAATGTAATGCATTTCATAAGAAATATAATCCCATCTTTTTATTATAAACTTTGCTCAGATGGTTGAGAATATATTTGAAAAGCATCTTTTTAGACGTGAGTTGATTGTAATAAAAATTCCATGAACTGAGATTAAGAAAGAATTTTCACAACTTTAGCAATGGCTGACATTTTACATATTAACTAGATTCAAAATATTTACAGTCAATATATAACCACAGTCTAAAGGCCGAAAGGGAAAAAAAACAAACAATCAAAAGCAAACAATTAAACTGATCAGGTTCTCTACAGTGAAAAACAAACTTTTTTGCAGCTTGCTTTAAAAAGATAAAAGCAAAAAAAGTAATTACTCACTCACAGATGAATAATAAAAAAAAAAATATTCTTTAAATGCTTTTTCACTAATGTGTTGAGAAATAGTAATAGTAATCTCTTCTGTTTTTGTGTTTTTATCAGACTTAAATGTTTCAGAGCCTAAACATCTTTAGTTATATAAGGAGAACTTAACTGAATGTAAAAAGAAACCTTCAAACAATCATTTAATTTATCACAGTGATAATCTATCTAATCATAGCAAAATAACTAGGTTCCAGCACATTCTGTTGGGCCAGGCTTAATTCCTTTTATATTCCAGAAATATGTTGACGTTGAAATTAAGTCTTCACTCATCTCTAACTTCTGCCAACATGAAGAAATCATTTAAGAAAAGAGAAGAATCCAATACAATAATGAATAGCCGGAGCAAGAGCAATCATAACGCAATCTAAAAAACTGCTAATAGGCTCAGTGTTAATGATTCAACATTAAGATATGAATGTATGTATTTGGGAGAGTGTCCTGATTTATATTAACTAAAAATATATATCTCCATGAGCCTTAAAACGTCTTGAAACAATTCTTTGAAAGTAAGAAGAATTTTTTGAATGATCTTCATCTTTTTACAGGCATAAATGTATCACAGCATTTCAGAAAAAAAAAACACTTTGAACCATCAGTCAGTCATAATGGTTGTCTAATGGTCCTGGGGTTGTCTGGCTGCTTCAGGACCTGCATCTCTCATCATAGTTGATTTTATAATGAAATACCTTTTGCCGAAAACGCTCAAGGATCAGTTCATGACTTTATGCTCAAGCGCACATAAAACAAACAATTCATGAAATAAAAATCTCTAGTCCATCTGATTCTAAATCAATTCTGAAAAGAAAGGTACAAGAAAATACAGTAAAATAATCAACAGTTAAATAAAAATAAGTGATCTAACTGCTTGATGGTTGAATCTTATCGCCAAGGATGACAAAGCGTTTCTTAATCTGAAGAAACAAAAAAAACAAAAACAAAAAAAACCTCCATGTATGAATGTTTTTCCACATCAGTTGAAAAAGTAATTAAAAAGCATACATTTTAGCATTAACGTGTTTTTTCTACCTCCATAAATTCAGTCCAGACTGGCTAAAGGGACTCAAAACCAGACTTAGGACTGATGACGTGTTAGATACACTTTCGACTTAGGACCGATTAAGCAGAAATGAACACATCATTTACATTATGTAAGTCACAAGGAACTTCCCTGTGGACCTGGGAGTGCGTATTGCCAAAGCTCCTGACCTGATCAATAAGAGGGATTATTGACTGGGGCTGATTTCAGTTTGGGTCTTAACCAAATGATTGAAGAGGAAAAATCCTCACAGCTTTGCTCTCCAAGCACCTAATCATATTCATCTAGTTCAGACAGTTATAGTCTGTATTTTTCTAATATACATGTAATCACTATCTCTTTGTTTATTGAGAAATAATAACAAACTTCTCCAAGACAACACATATCAGAAAACAGTGCTGGGTTATCTCCCTGTTGGAGTGCACTTTGGCTCTGAGAGCGACAACTCAACACATTTACACTCCTATATAAACAGTTCAGGCTAGCAATGCCTCTGACTTTGCTCTCTTTGTCTCATTTCTGCACAGGAAGGAGGTGAGTACTGACATGTTTTGACACATTTACTAAAGAAATGACATTGCAGTAGATGGTTACTAAGATAATCTTTGACAATGTCTCACCCTAGTGGATAAAGAAGTGTATGTTTTAAGTTTACCTTTGCTCTCTCTGTGTCCACAGATCCAAACCACCATGAATAAGTTGTTGGTTGTTTCTGTGCTTATTGCACTTCTTGCTCTCAGTAAGTCTATTCTACCAATACTAAAATGCTTACTAGTAGTCATTTTTTGGGGTTAACAAATATATTGTTTTTAAGAACTTTGGTGACATTGATAGGCTAAGCTGCATCAATATTTCTGCTTTTGTTTGTGTTAGGAAATTAAAACAATTAAATATTGATAAAAAAAAAACCTACAAATTCAACAATTGGCACTGGAAATATTTCCTTATCATATTCCAAAGTTGACATTAACATCAAAGCTAATTGACATCAAAAGAAAATCAAAAAAACAATTTTTGGAGATAACAGAAAGGAAGGTTGTAGCCTATTTTATTTTCTACATACTTGCAACCCTTCTTGAATTCATTTCTACTGGTACAGTATCATCCTAAAGAATTTTACTATGCTGGAAGAAACTTGATTGGAAGCATAGGGTACCTATCAAACATAATTTCAATTTCACTTATATTTTGCCATATGAAAAACTGGATCGTACTTAAGGGTATCAGAGTAAAGATGACATAATAAAAATGAACACCACAATAATTAGCCCCAAATATATGTCATTATTTTACACCATGTAAAATAATGTTGGATTTTTACTCAGAATGCTAATAAAAATAAACAGCAATATCCATTTTTAACATTATACAATGTAAATAAAACTCAATCCATCTTCCCTCCCTTATTCCATAAGGGTTACGGTGGGCCCAGTGCCTCCAGCAGTGTATGGGCGAGAGGCAGGGTACAACCTGGACAGGTCACCAGTTTGTCACAGGGCAACACAGAGACACACAAAGGCGTGCAACCATGCATATCCACACACTCACACCTAATTACAATTTAGAGGTGCCAATGAACTAAACAGTCATGCTCCTTGCCTGTGAGAGGAAGCCTGAATACCCTGAGAGAACATGAAAAATACACCCTAACCCAGGCTGGGAATTAAACCCAGAATCTTCTTGCTCAAAAGCAATAGTAAAACAAACTACCCCACCTTGCAGCCCATGAAAGAAGACTTTGGCTAGAAATACATTAAAGAGACACTCAGTATCCAAAGGATTTGCTTCTGATTAATTTAACCTCATTTATGCAGGCACTGAAGGCTTCCGTTTGCCAAGGCAAGTTGACGAGGAGGAGGGTACTCTGTCTAAAATCTCAGAAGCTATCAAGTCCTACTATGGCAGTGCTTTGGACACTGTCAATGGATACGTGGACACTATCAAAGGCCTGAAGATTGAGGAGAAAGCAAAGTGAGTGTGTTAGCACAGCTTGATTGATTAAATTTATGCAGAATTCAGTTAATGAAAGTTTAAATTGTTTTCTTCCCATTTTTTTTTCTCCCTAGGAACCTTTATAGTGAAACCAGCACAGTTGTGAGCACCTACGCTGGAATTATGCAAGATCAGATCTACCACTTTTTCCACCAGTAGCAAATTAAAGTACACACTTAAAAACTCATTCAAATGATCTCATCTGCATTTTCCAAGAGTATAAAAATCCCAAGCCTGTGCAGAAAAGTAGCTTCTCACCATTTGACATCTGACATTTTTGTAGTCATCATCAAAAGGAGCATCCACAACTTAAATAAAGGACAGTGTGATTTTTAAAGTGCCTTTTCTTAACCACTGAACTGATGCTAACACACACTGGAAATGGTCATCCAAAAAAGGCTGCCTCAAAGAGAGGATGAAAAAATGTGGTGGGCACCATGGAGCACTCGGTGTAAAAATTCTGTGGATAATTTCGTGGTCTAATGCCATTTAGTTATACTGCATTTACTGTTATTTGACCTAAAACAGCTACACCAACCCTAGATAACTCTAAATGTTTGTGTCATGTCTTGAAATAAAGTATTTATACAAAAAAGAGCATGAGCAGTTTATTTATTCCCTTAGACTTTTGTTTTTGACACTCTTTATGGTTGCTTCCATTTCCTTTCATCTTACAAAATCAAGTTATTCTGTCTAGTCTAAGTTAATCATAAGCACAACTTTTATTGTTTCAGACAAAATCAAATCTAAAGCTTTTGGTTGAATTCATAATATTTAAAGGGAAAAGTAAAATATAACTTTTGCAAACCGAATGGAGGCCAAAAAAAAGACAGATAAAATATAAGTTTCCTTCATCTTCACAAAAGACCACTGATGAAAGGGGGTTATGTTTTTACTGAATGCCTAACTCCTACCAAAATGGATGCTTGTGAAGCTACATTGCAACAAAAATAATCATCATACTGTGCAAAGTTCTCTAAACTGTTGCAGAAAATGACCATATTGTCTTATTGTTTTAGATATACATGACTTTTTATATGCCTTCTTAAGACTCTATTCATCTTTATTTTATGTCAGATCTATATTATATATACTATAAATACATTACTTATTAAGACAGGGTCAATCCAGAATTTTCCAAATATTTCCATTTCTTGGCAGTGTGCATACAGCATCACTGGGAGAGTTTTACTATGCCTCTCCTAACACCAGATCTAACTAACTTCTAGATCAGACCTTTTTTATATTTTAACTCTCTCCTATTATGTTATTCTATACATTTTTCTCATAATCTTTCTGATGCTGTGAATTTGCCCATTGTGGGACAATAAAGAGATTTTCTATTCTATAAAATGGTAGAAAGATATAAGTAAAGCTGTATATATAACAAATATGTCTGCAAAATCTCTAATATTCAACAACAACAAAAAATACTTAGTTAAGCAAATTGTGCAAAAGAGTAATACAAAAATAAAAATCCTTTTAGATTCATAGTTCCCACACTGCAGATATATTACAATCTGTCCTTAAATTGCAGCAAACCCATTTACACAGTAACAGATAAAACCTTTAGATAAACCAAACATTACCGCCACATATCTGACTCAATAACCATTAAAATAACTATTTTTCATTCATTTTAGACGGAACTATTCATGGAACTATTCAAGCTTATGTTTTATTAAACTGAACTTCCAATATTCACCATTGTTTGGCCCCATTTGCCTTTTTCCTCTGATAACGAAGCAGCCGGCTTGCTTGGTCTCGGAATGAATTCTGGGAAAAACAAGGATAGCAAGGATACATTGGACCCTTCCTTCAAATCGGGCAAAAAAGACAGATGCATTTTCAGGCCGCATAACGAGGAGTCTTGGAATACGACCAGAACTCGGCACAGCAGTATGACGTAATCAGCCTTCAAATCTGGCCTTCTGAGGACGCAGCCCATAAATTTGAACAGAGGCTATATATGGGAGACTGAACAAAGACACAACTAATGAGCTGATTGGTAGCAGGTGTGAAGAGAGGATTTTAGAAGGTAGCTAGAGAAAAGGAGACCATCATGAGAGGGCAACAGAGGGAAACAAAGAAAACTGATAACTCATATATATATATATAGAAAACACAACAAAATAGGAATTAAACCAATAAAACTAGAAAACAATGGATCTAAGTAAACCTGAATACTCAAAAGAAAACTTAACAGAACCAAGACCGTGACAAGCTATCAAAAAATCACCTTCAGCTGTCCCTTAAACATCATATAGCTATTTTTAGTGAATTTAGACATTGCCAATGTAAATTAAGTTCATACAAAATAAAGTTGAAGGATCTAGAAGTAACAAAAAAATAAAACAAAAACAGCTTGTATTGTCATTGCACTGTCACAAGTACAAAGCAATGAAATTCACTATCTGCATTTAACCCATCCCCTTAGGAAGCGGTGGGCTGCCATTGTGCAGCGCCTGGGGAGCAGTGTGGGGTTAAGAGTCATTGCTCAGGGACCCAGAGTTCCAGTCTGTGGGAGTGAGGCTCAAACTCAGGACCTTGGTATTCCAAGCGCAATGCCCAAACCACTAGGCTGACAAAACCCCTTATTGCCTTCTTCAAAAGGACAAGAAAATCGTCCTCATCCAACACTCCTCTTGTCTTCAATGTCTTTAAATAACAGGGGTGCTCTTCTCTCTGGGGAAAAAAAACTGTGTGTTCGTACCATATTCTCTATAAACGTTTTTAAAAACCATTTAATGCTCATTGATGCTCTCAAAGAAAGACATGGTGTCATTAGTGCCCCTTTCGCTCGACTTAACTTCATAGAGTGTCCTTAAAGGGGAACGCCGTTTTTTTTTTTACATTTGGCCCTTGATTTTACGTTATTATCATATTCTACTCACCCATATGAGTTTTGTGTAAGTTGAATATCTGATTAACACAAATGACACAAAACCTATATGGGTGAGTAGAACATGATGTAATAACGTAAAATCAAGGGTCAAATGTAAAAAAAAACGGCATTCCCCTTTAACTCGGTTCTCCTCATTGGCCTCTGTTCCTTTACAGTTTCTGCAACACTGTCCAGTTATTTTTAACAGTCTCCCAGATATTCAATCCTACTGATCTTCCTTAAGATTGTCTACTTTTTCATTGGAGTCTTGCTTTTTTTTAATTAAACAGTTTTTAATTAAAAAGACTTGATTAGGAAAGGCATATACCTTATTGGAAAGGCGTTGAGTCGAAACACTGAGAGACACTTATTTTGTAGTAAAGTGTTAGGAGGACCTCTGGTGGTAAATATTGGTAAGTGTGCTCTTTGGTTCAGAATTGCCCTTTGATTAGTCCGATAGGCAGCCCAGCATGTTAAGTAGCACAAGCAGGGGCACAGCCAGAAATTTGGGGACGCAAGAAAAAAATTGATATTGGTCCCTCCACAAAAAAAAAAAAAACTGATACAAGCTTTAAAACAGCTATAAAGATGCACTGTATCATTTACATTTGAATGTTATTTCTATTGTCAAATTTCTACAAAGGAAAATTATCGCATTGCGAAAACGTTTTATACACATTAACGTTAAACTTTACATTATTAATCATCCTCTCAAAGTAATAACAGCTTATATAAAACAAAAACACAGCTGTATATATGTACACATGAAAAGAAAATAGGTTTTACGTTGTTAAAATATAGTCCTATTAGGTTTCGCTATAACTTCAACTCTAATTCTAATTCTAAACTTCCAATCAATTCTAAACTGACAAGCAAGGACATAATTTAAGGCTCCCTTTTTTCTACTTTAGTTTTACAACATAGAAAATGATTACTTTAGTTGCAAAGTTCTGTACGTTTACATACATATTTATATCAGATTGCAATTTACAGGTTTCAGAAGAATCCCCATTTCTGGTAAATTAAATCCCTTTAAAGAAAAACGACTAAGGTAAACTGTCTGGGTTTTCTCTAACAATCATTTTTCTAATAATTTTTAAACTTAGATTTTTGTTAACTTTAGGTACAAAATACAGCTAAAGAAGACACTGATATCAGCACAATTTAGCAGAGAGATAAATTGTCATTTCGGTTTATGGTAGGTCTGAATAAAGATGGGGTAGTTTAATATTTCTTTTTTTTTCTCTTACTAAACAAATTAAGCATGTAACAGAAAAAATGTAAAGATTCTATACCTTTGTTGATGTAATTAACATTCTGTGATAATGTTTTATACAATGGCATTTTTGCATGTAGGAATTAAGAAAATATTTCATTTCCATACACAATTAGCCTCGGTACAATGTGGGTAAATGTTAATTTTGGAAAAATGTTACTCAAAGACAAAAAATATATCATAAATATTTGTAAAAATTAATCATGAAAAGAATAATTTTAAAAACTTGTCTTAAATGCTTAATGCCATAGTACTTTAAAATAGTGTTAATGCTTCTCTGTCTTTCTGAAAGTTTCACTTTGTTGTTGAAATATTAAACTTCATATTGAATTACTCTAAAAAAAATTGTTTCATGTTTTAACCTGTTAACATGAAACCCTTATGTTAAGGTCACTAAAATTTCATATTCTGAGTAGATGCAGAAAAATGCATGAAGTATTTTTCCATTGAGCCACAACTAATCTGGAAAGCTAGATTGATCATGTTTAGCACTCAGGTTCTACAAATTATTTATCCGGAACTCCTCTGATTGAATATGTTTGTGTAAAGGAGAGGCATGGCGCAGAAACATCCAAGCTAATTAGCTGAAGTGACACCTAGTTCCTGTCTACCAAAATTTTAGACAATCATAGTATGAATATATCAGCAGAGATAATGAGAAACCATTGACACATAAGCTAGTAATGTGCTTACTGATACATTTTTAAAGATTATATAATGGACTATGACAAAACGGATATGATATCAGCACCTTGCTTTTTCGCTGCCATGATTATATTGGTTCAGGTGCAGAGGTGGAGCTCTTTTTGGTGGGATCAGATAGAGCAAGGCTATATCAGGGGGTCCACAGGCCTGAGAATGAATTTGTTTCTCAATCATTTGTAATGTGTGCATTTAGTTTGCCATTTATGAACACTCAAAAAAAAAAAAAAAAACCTAATGGCCAACCTAACATGTCACTATGTGAGCGTGTTTATTAATGGGGAAGTGAATATCTTAACAGAGAAGCAGAAAAAAAAAAAAAAAAAGTTTCACAAGAACAAACCATTTTTTTTGCATTTTACATTGCACCATATAAACTGATGATAGTGCACAGTTTACATGGTGATAAATGTATTTTTTTCAAATTTTATCCTATTTTTTTAATTTTATTTACTGATACTGTTGAACATTAATTCATAACAAGAGACCAACATCTCTTCTTTTTCTTTATAAAATAAACCAGAAAGATTGTTTTCTGCTTAGAAAAGAGTAAATCAGTAACTTTTACTTAAAGTTAGATTTTGAATTCAGCTTGAGGTAACGTTTATAAAGTTAAAACTCTTAATCCTTTTGGTACAGAGTTTTTTTTAAAGTGTGCTTTTAAATAAATACAATGTAACTCTAAGTACTGTCTGATTCTGAAACTGTATGCTGTTCTTTATCCA